GGTTTTGAAAATCTTGGCCTTTAAACACAGGATCATTGGATATGAGCCTTTCAAGGTTAAAATAAAAAATGTTCTGAGCACCCTAACAATTTATCCCTATTTTCATGCCATTTCTTTTTAATTAGTGAGATTATTCATCTACTTCCATTGTTTCTTCCAAGCTGGCTGATATTCCTTGTAAGTGAAGGATTTAGGACAAAGCTATATCCAGCAATATTTTTTGACAGTTTTAGTCATACTTAACTGAAGCAATCAGATTAACTCAACCTTGGAGATGAAGCGAAGTGAGCTGGATATGAGCCGAAGAGGGGAAGTGAGAGACTGCTAAAGGGAAAGAGGTTTAACATTTGACTTCAGGGGCCTGGTCTATCAGAGTTCAAGGCTCTGGTGAACAGCACTCTGTGACTCTAATTATAGTGAAAGCTATATCTGTGCTTGCCATTACACTTCTATGTGTTATCTTCAGTGTGCAAAGCTGGGGCACCTTGTATAATCAGCCAGTATTTTGCCTTTAAAGTCCAGTAGACTTTGCAATTAGAATGGAAAAATTAAAATTGACCTGGCGTTCCATGCTATTTTTCTTTCAGATATGCAGGTAACATGGTTGCTTCACTTGAAAAAAAAAAAAAAAAAAAATGGTCTGAAAGTCATACCTGCAATCTCAATCTCAGTCTCAGACCTGAAAATCATGCCACGTTCTTTCTGTTTCTTACATCATAGCAAACACATCTCTGATTTTCTTGTTGCAAATAATAGTTGTTTATTTTTATCCCTTCTCATTAGGTTAGGGTATCTCATGACAGAAGCCAGTGGCAAACTATAACTTGGGAAAGCAGAATTGTTGGCAAATCTATCTTAGAGGTTTGTCTGCTTCCTATTACTTTGGTACTTTAGCACCACCTATACAAAGTCACAAGTAATAGCAATGCCCCTACTAGAGAGTTTGACACTTCTCCCCGATGGAAAAAAAAATCTCTGCTTGGCATAGGGATTTTTTTCCTCTTTCCCCTTTCCTTTTTCCTGTGTATTTTCCAGGGTAGATGTGATGGTTTTGGAAGAAAAGGTGTATTTGAAATATGATTAACCTTCCATCCCAAACTGTAATGCTCTGTTATTGATGCATGTATAATAAAAATGAACATTTCTATTGTATTTTGTAAGAAGACAGGGCACACCTCCACTGCCTCCACAGAGCTCATAGAAATGCTGCCTCTCATTCACTTCCACTTCACTTCCCAAACCTGGAACAGAGGATTATTCTGACCATGCCCCTGCTACTGCTCTCAAGTACACCATAGACAGAGATCTCAAGAGCAGCAGTGAAGGGAGGGAGGGAGGAAGAGGCCTCCCTGCTGTGTGCTGAAGTGCACTACCTTGCAGTTTTACTGCTACATTTCAAACCATTTCTATTACGTTCCAAAGGTTATCCAGTTCTTTTCCATATCAGCAATACTGCCCAGCTTGTCTCATCTGCAACTTCCATCATCAGCACATATCTGGTTCTTATACTGAGGTCACAAGTGATAACATTAAACTGGATATGTCCTGAGGTCCCTCCTTGAGGAACAGCACTAGTACCTAACTGCTTTCCAATGTGATCAACACCTCTTTTACTTTAACGTGATAAAGTCTTCCTTTTGACCTGTGTCCTATACGATCTTTAAGTTCATATTAATCGTCATCTTCTCTACCTCAGATAATTGTTTCCCATTAGGCACTGAATCAGATGTCTTGCTTAACTCTAGAAAGATTAGCTCCCCTGGACTGCCCCTATCCAAGAAGTCAACCATCCTACCTTAACCCAGGTCTAATTGCAGTGTGCTTTGAAGCACCCAGGACTAAGGGCAGTTTGCCACGGCAGGGGAAAAAACTTGCAACACACTATGAAGCTCTTTCCTGGACAGATTGTATCTGCTTCTGTCATATGCCTCGGGTCTCTGCTTTGTTTTTACTTTTGGACATCATGTGGGAAGATTGATAGCCCAGTAAAATCCCATGGAAGGGCTAGTCACTCCAGGACACACAGACTCCTTGCAATCTCTCTCCTCCCTCTCCCCTGTGGTGACCTCACAGTTGTATACAGATGGGGTTTCCTAGTAACCACAGAGCACAGCAAAGCTAGCAGGAGCTGCAGCACCTCTGTGCCCATTGCTCCAGGAGACCTGGGGTCTAGGTGAGGTATGCAGAGCAGCCAGGATGCAAGAGCACCTGGAGAAGAGGAGGAAGATGAAGAAGAAGAAGAAGAAGAAAAGAAAACTGCTCAGCTACTAAAAGCAAAACACCAGCTGCCACTCTCTGCTCAGTCTGCCTTTGCTTATGTCCCACCTGGACGCAGGGACCCTCCAGAGCTCAGCTATTTCCACCGAGAGGCTAAGGTGAGGTTGGAAAGAGACAAGGGCAAGCAGTGGAGTGAGGATGAGTCTGAGGGAGCAGCTTTGATGAGGTACGAGATAGAGAAACTACAAAAAAAGAAAATTAAGAAAAGAGACAACGGCATAGGAGTAAAAAGAGAGGGGGAGGCTGCAGGGGGGAGCAGGCACATCAGTCATAGACAAAGAGAGGCAGAAGCATCTGCAGGGGGGAATTGTGTTGCCAAAATTTTTTACCTGAATCAGTCTCCACTTAAAATCTGTCCCTTGCCTTCACAGCCTGGGCCCCTGTATGGTCAACACTCATTATTTCTCCTAAATAAAGTAATTATATTGAAAAGGGTGTTCAGCAGCTGGAAAATGCTGCATGTTCCCAAGAGCATAATTTACAGGCTGGAAAAAATAAGTGGTGAAATGGGGATTTGCTGAGCCCCAGTGAAATTAATAAGGGACATACATAATAGTGCAGCTTCCTGGCAGTTTTCTATGTAGCTTAATTAAATCAGGAACAATCTGTTTGCATATTTTGGCTGCTAATTAGACTTGGGGTCAAGTGGTTGTAGTCACTCCAGATATGGTTGTGCAACTTGTCTGAAAGCAGATGTCAACATTTTAAATGAACGTGAATCAATGCTACTGAAATGTCATACTTTTGCCATACCCTAGGAAGTCCAGCATGATAACGTTGCACTTACTTGGGACTTTTCATTTTCAAAGCACTTTGCAAAGTGGAACTATTCCTTACAACATCTGTGGAGGGAGAAACACATGACCTACATGCAGGGGCAGATTCAGAGGGGGTGCACAAGCATGGTGGCACCCCTTAGCAGACCACACCATGGAAGCAGCAGCTGAGGACTTTTTAAAGTCTCTAAATCAGATAAGAATTGCCCCGCTTTCCCTCCATCTTCAGTGGCACATCCCCCCCCTTCCAATTCCCTTCCTCCCTCCCTCCCTGTTACCATTGTCCTCCCATGTCTCCAGTTGCCCACATGATGGAGAGTGCTCCAGAGCTGCTTCTGCCCCACTCCAGCTGGGCTGTTTGAGGAGCCAGGTTCAGATGGGGATGGTGGCAGTAGCAGTGGTGGGTGGTTTTCTCTCTCCCTGACCTTGCTTCTAGCCTGTCAGAAAATACCCGGGAGGGTGGAGAACTACACAGGGAGGAGAAGCCTGCCCAACTCCACGGTTGCCTTTGTCCCCAGCTGAGCCCAGTACACAGCTGGGCTAGAGTAGGGCAGGAGCAGCTCTGGAGTCCCCTCCTCCCCCCGCCATCCCCAGGGCAGCCAGAGACAGTGGCCATAGCAGGTGATGGAGGGGTGAATGGGAGGGAAGTGGAAGTGCCACGGAGCATGGATGGGAAGGGAGGGGGTGCTGAGAGCAGGAGAAGAGGGAGATTTTTACCTGAGCTGGGTTTTAAAGGAAGTCCCCAGCTACTGTTTCCATAGTGTGGTCTGCCTGCTCAGGTGCAGGTGTAGCTGGGAGTGGCAGTAGCACCACCACCACCCCTGCATCACTGGTTTCTGCTTCCACACCCCCATTTACAAAATCCTGGATCCACCTAGGCCCACATTTTCTAGAAAGGGAGGACAAGAATGAGAGGTTTAGGTGGATACCCAAAGCCAAAGGAGTGTGAGGTTCTTTGAGCAGGGGGCTGGACCCGATGATCTCACGAGATCCCTTCGAGACCTAATGTCTATGAATCTATGAATCGATGAAAACAGCATAGAAAATTGGCACAGGACTTTGTCTCCTATTTGCAACCCCTCAAATAGTTTGTCTTTAAGTCCATGATGTGATGCATCTTGGAGAAAAGTTGTTGAGATTAAGTTACCAACTTCTGAGAAGTGTGTGCCCTTAGAGAGCCCTGTCTGTTGTGTAACAGGGAGAGTTCTTCCTTTGGCCTTATTATTTAATAGAAGCCACAGCTGCCATTGTGTATGATGAGGCACTCAGTCCTTTAAGTCTGCCTGAGCCTTGTTCTGATTCGGACTGACAAAGGGACATAGGTATTGAGTGCTTACTTTGAAGCTTCCAACTGGATTTAAGCCAAAGATGGGCACTGAGTTGCTTGGTGCTGGCAAACTAAAGCAATTCTGGGAATGCGTGGAAGCAGATTTTTAGATGTGGAGGAACTTTCCTAGTGGCAGCATAGGCATCGACATTGTTAGGTAGGGGCTCTGAGGGTCAAGCACTTGCCATTAAGTTCCTAAATCCTGAAGGCCAGAAGTCCTTTGGTGGATCTGGACCTGAGTTAGCAGTAGAATGCAACAGTGTTGTCTTACCTCAAATAAATGTATTTCATCCAGGCTTGTAAAATGCTTTAATCTTCTCAAATGAAATGTGCATTTGAGGTGTGAAATGCTGTGCTGCTTCTATTCAACAACTAATGTTATTTCTTCCTGCTTTGAATAATCTTACTTATGTCTCACAATGATATTTCTAGTACTATAAATAGGCATGTAACACAATTAACCAGCCCCCTCTGAGAGATTCAGCTGGTTTTAGGTAACCACAGGCAGATTTTTGAAGAGAAAGTCCTCATTCCTATAGACTTCTGCTGTCCTTGGTCCTACAGAAACTGCACATCTAGCTAACATAACTCAATCTTACTGTGAAGTCTGAGATTAAACTGTGCCAGATGAGAGCGCTGTAAGGAGAAGCTGTGGCACAGCAAAGAGTCTTAGAGGTCTTATGTTGACTTGTCCTGGGATTAGGTAAATACTGTGTAAAGCTACCAATTAACTCTTTTTGACTAATTCTGGCAGGTGTGTGTTAACTTCAATAGGGTGAACTAGAGGCAGGGACATGGATATGCTGAAGGGAAACTCTATGAACTTCCATTCTTAGGGAGAACACTTTGAGCTGATATCTATTTTACTATTGCTTGAGTCACCAATCAAGGCAAATCATACACCAGAGGTGCGTGTGACCATCTGTTGCCTCTGCAGACTTTACTTGAAGCAAACTGAGAGTATACATTTCACCTCTGTCCAAGGTTCACATTCAGCACAAAGGCCATCAATTGCAATAATCTGAGGGTGGAGTTCTATTTCATCCAAAATGAAACTTGACACTCCATCGGGTGCTTAAGTGTCCTCATTATGGGAAAATGGAGACATCTACATGTCTCTGGAGGGCAATCCTATTCCTATAATAGAGACATATGTACCCAGATGTGTGTAATAGAATCATTCAATAGTTGGGTAATGCAGAGTTAGCCTCAAGCTGCACTTTAGTCATCCGTTAGAGGAACAGAATTCTGCCACTCCCTACCACTGTCTCATTGGTGAATAACAGCTAACCACAGACAAGAAAAGAAGTCCGACACCTCTTGGTCTTTTAGGATCAAATCAGGGATTCTGCCTTGAGTGTGATTTAATGATTGTTGTGACATCAGCTGGTCATCTCCATCCAAAGATTTAACCCTGCACCGCTGTCCTCCCAAGTTCATGGCAAACCCACTTGCTACATAGCCTGGACAGTTGCGTTAAGTATTCACTAAAGAAAGGGTTAACAGAGTCAACATCTCACATTTTCAGTTGGAGGTTTCAGAATGACATGAGGAAGGCACTGTGGTGTCATTGCTAAAATGTGAAGTAGTCTTGGGTGCAAAGCATTAACATACACAAGGGAGAGCAAGGCGAACAGTAAGCCTGGATGAGGCCCTGGCTCTAAATGTGGTTCCTACACACACTGACAATTCACGCAGAGAATATATATCCAATATAATATGCATTAATTGTGGAAGGTTAATGTGTGGCCCAGCCTCACTTTGAGATAGGATGGAGTGGGGTCATGCCACACAGTGTTGCCACAGAAAGTTACCTTCAGGGTATGCCTATGTTATGTGACTGTGTGATGGTGGAGACAGAATAGTCATTGCCCTGGCCAGTGGGATAAACTAATTGGATATTTTGATACAAAACACTAAAAAGACGTTTATTTTGGAAACTGAGGAAGAGAGAAACACAGGTAAGTGTGCTGAGCACAGGACTGGAAGCCAAGAATGCCTGAGTTTTTATCCCTGCTCTGCCAATTACTCCCTATATTGCTTTAGGCAGGTTTGCATTGCATTTCCCATATGTGACTTGGAAAAGGTGCTTAGCTGTTTTATAGGGATGTTGCGAGCATTCATTTATGTCTGCAAAATGATTTACAAGTGTTCAGTGTTATTACACCAGTTCATAGCAGATGCTCACCTTGGATACAAATTGCTTGTCTGCTTTACATGATTCACTCACTCTGACAGGTTTTTAAAAACTATCAGCCTACCATGTCAGCATTTAACAACGGATACAGATGACAACCATGGATACCAGTGAAGTGGCTTAGAGTCAAAATAAGCAGCCACCAGGCATTGCACAATTAGAAGGGACTTGACATGCAAGGTAATAACAAGGATCTGCAACCACACAGATGTCATCTGCACAAGGATGGCAGAAGATCTCAAAACAGATTATCTGGGACAGAATTTGAGCTTAACATAATAGGCTGGCTGTCTATCTGCAAGAGGCTAAATCCTCTGCACTGACAACATTAATAGAAGAAAAAGGAGTGAATAATGCAGGCATTTCTTTTAAGCAGCATTAACTCAGTCTTTTCTGGAGTTCAGAATAAAAATGACAATATAGGGAGTGAAGGAAATGCAAGAGTAAAGTACAAAAATGGAGATGACATACTATATATAGGGACTGCCTTAAATCATGCCGAAACGGGTTTTTCATGGCCCACTCACAATGTGTAGAGCCAATTTGGGTGGCATTTTGTGACAGCCCCGCCCCTCAATGCTGATTGGCAGAGAGGCCCAGCGGGGAGGAGGGACAAGGGAATGGCTGCCATCTTGATTTCTGGGTGCCCTACATGCCACCCTGCCCCCCAGTGCTAACTGGTAGAGAGGCCCTGGCAGGGGGAGGAGGGACGAATGGGCAGTCGCCGTCTTGTCGGCTGCCCTTTGTGCCACCCTGCCAGTTGGTATCTTCCCCTCCTGGCCAAGAGGACCAGTGGTTCTCACTGGGGAGCCAGTTTTTTATTTTTATTACGTTTTTATTGTTGTTGATTTCAGGGAATTTGCAGACAATCCTGGATGTCGCAGTTTCAACGAAATCCATGAAGCCCCGAATTAAGTAGGTCCCCAGTTGCATGCAACCTCTGCTTGGAAGGCCAGGACAAAACTAAAAGCCCTCTCTCCCTTTGAGAGAACTACATAATGTCCTCCCTTTATCAAGTTAGCTGATTACTAGAGTGATGACCTAATGGCATCTTTTAATGGGGCTTCTAACCTTTGAGTCCTGTTCAAACTCCTATATTTTCAGAGAAAAGGAATGGAAATAATGAAACCTGAGCACATCTTCATTTTTTAAAGTCTGATGTGATGCACAATTGTGAAGTTACAGTTTTTGAAAGATGACTTTTTTCCAGATTTTTAAACCAGATGTTGCAGGACTAGGGTGATGAACTGATCTTTTCTTGTGTCAAAGTGCTGATTCTTTAAATAAATTCATAGATCAGTAATAGGATATTGTAAATTATATATCTATTTCTCCTCTATTGAATAATTGTTTTGTTTTCCTGAAACATGCACACCTCTCAGTATTTGTGGATTAGACTCCCTACTGCCTGAAGCTAACTCTGCATTACTTAGCAGCTTGGGACTTCAAAGACACCAGCCTGCTTTTCTGTGCTCAGAAAACTCCTGATGGGAGTCTTGGCTATATCAAGAACAAAAGTTTGTGGCCCATAAGGGGAAAATAATTAAAAAAATCTTTGACATCTCAATATGAAAAGATATTCTAAATACAGTAATTTCCTTCACTCACTAAATTTTCTTGTGGTAGAGCAAGTGTGGGCTATGCATATTACTGGAACAAGAGCTCACTGTTGCAGTCTGTTTCTGAGCTACTCCAAAATATGCATTAATCTGATGACTGAGTCACAAGCTTCGTCTTACATCTTTGCCTTTTGAAAAGCATTCCAAAGCTGCCGGCTTTCTTCCTTTATTTTCTTCACTCAGAGTGATTCTTTAGTTGGGTGGAAGCATTTAATGAGAAAAAATATTTCAGTAAGGAATCAAATGTTAAGCTTTCAAAGGTTACTATAAATTACTTGGGAGCAGCAGTGCTATGAAATGTGAAAAAAATTGTGTGACCATGTCCTTTCACATGCTGGAGATATTTGCTCTTGTTACGTTTTTGCAGATAAGCCAGATGCACAGAAAATTCATAACAGTTTTGGCTTCCAGACTGTTTCAAAAAGGATGCCCAAAATATTGTTAAAAAGTAGAAAGTCCCTTTAAGCTCTTAGTGCCATACACGTACCACTTGTTCGTTGTACAACATATTGTTTTCTAACTTATGTAGTGGTGAATGCTACAATAAATTAATCATATTTTCTCTTTCTTCCAAGACAGGAACTGTTTCCACCTATGACTCCATTTTTAAAAGGCCAGGGGGTTACAACGAAAAACTTCACCGCTGTGACAGAGAACATGCAAAGAGTCATGGCCTTAAAATTAATGAAGAGGTAACCTCGAGTTACCTTACGGTAACCTTTGTTAAGTGACTTTATTGGTGTCAACAACACTGGAGACCACCAGCCTTGTGTTTCCATTTGCTACACAAACCCCAGTGAAGCAAAAGAGTATAAACTGGGTACCTGAGGTAGGAAAAGCATACAACCAACCAAACACCCCAATTTGCTGAGCAAACAGACCTGACCCTGCCCTGCCCCATCTTCAAACCACATTTTTTTTCCTGCACATCCAGGACTCAGTGGAGTTGGGGGAGCAGAGAGAAGCTGAAGCTATTCCCTGTAGAACAGTCCCCTAGAGCAGCATTTCTGTGGGTTGTGACCCAAAAGTGGGTTGCAAGAATAAATGAAAGGGCCACGGACAAACATTAGTAATAGATGAACAAACTTTAAAATTGGATTCTTCTTCAAAGGAGAAAACCTTGGGAAATCATAGCTTTTCCCCTGCAGACTGCCAGAGTTCCAGCTGTAAGGGGTTGCTTGGGCTCCCCCTTCCCCACTGCCATCCCCTGCCCCACACGTTGAGGGGCTGAGGCCTGGGGGCAGCAGGTCAGGAATGAGGGGCACTGGGTTGGGACTAGCCATCAATGTTTACAAATGGGTCCTGGTACAAAAGAAGTTGAGAACCATGCCTTATAGCTCTGTAAGTTTCCAAGGGAAAATTCTTGCAGCTAGCTGCCTGATGGGAGGTAGAGAGCCCATATATCAGTGTGGAAGGGTTGGCCTTCTATCAGGAATCTCCAAGATACATGAGAATGATCTCTGACTTCCCTGTGGATTTTGTGAATCTGTGTATTTGGGGAGGCACTCCCATAGTCTCCTCCACAAAACCAGTAAGCTTAGCTGTGTTGTTCTCCTGTGGCACAGTGTAGTAGGTTTTATGGTTTGTTATCAATACTTTCTGGCTGCGGTGTGCAGAGGGGCCAGAATGGATATTCTTTTGGACTCCTTACAAATGTTTGTTGAATGACGTCTGCAATCATGCACTCATTGGCCCAGGAGGTCCCTTCCAGTTCCATATTCCTTTTCTTTCGGGAGGGCAAATACTATACATTCTCACATACCAAACACCTTTTCCCAAAAACTAGCCCCCCCACACGCTTCTCCCCACAAGTTGGGGTGCATGTCTTAAGTGGGAAAGCTGATTTTTCTGTCAGAATAGAAGCACCCAGTTTTGATTCCTGCTCACAGCAGCCGTGACATTTGTATTTGGCAGCTGAGGGAGTCAAATGATTTAATTGGTCATTGTTCTTCACTCTACAGCATTGGCGATGCATAGGGGGGTCATGCGGGTGCACATGCACCCCCCTGAGGTCAGCCGTGCACCCCCTGGAAAGCACCAGCCACGGAACCAGAAGTGCACTTCCGGTTTCACCGCTGGCTCGGTGATCAGCCCCTGGGGGACACACCACCCCCTGCCCCGTCGGCAATCTGGTGCCCCCCCGGACTCAGGAGACACCAGTTACCCATGCTCTACAGGCTTGATGTTCCACCAATCAAGAAAGTTTCTTCTTCTGGCAATTTTGCTCTCTTTTAGTTATTCTCTTCTTCTATTTCACAGCCTTGTAAGTGAGCTGTTTTCAACTCTTTTCAAAATCATAGCAGGAAAAGGAGGGTTAGCAAGTTGAAGATTAGGGTCTCTCCCTGCTCTGTACAGTCCTAACTCTGGATTTTTTTTTTTCATTCTACCTTCACAGAAACAAGGTGTGTGTCTTATTTGGGGTTGTATGCAAGAAAATATGTTATCTTCAAATATTGTACTGGAGTGGCAGTCTGTGATGTTTGGGGTTGAGAGCCCTTTTCTATTTAGAAGCTGACCCTTCTACATGTTCTAAAATCAACAGGCTTTTTTCAAATGGCCGTGAACTTTGGTGTGCATTATGGCCTCTCCCTCTCTTGTTCCCCTGCACTATCAATAGAAGCTGAGATCTTCAGGTCTGTGCCCCTCCATGAATGAGTCCTTCTTCTTGCTTTCCTATATAAGGTGCAATCTGAGAGATCTCCTTCTGTTCCCCTTTCCCTGCCTCCCTCCCACATTAACTGAGTCCAGACTGTGGGAGACAGGAGGAATAGAGGCTGTTCTTCTGTGATCTTGTGACCATGTAGGAGCTGGGATTTGGAGGGGCTTGCCATTCTGGGGTGGATCTGAGCATTCATCCTCCTTCCCCTGTGTATGTGCTGGAGCAGGAAAGGCTGTGTGCTTCCGGGGTGGTGTGAGGTCTTCTCCCTGTCTCTCTAGAAACCAAGAAGAACAAGTTAATGGACATGTCACCCCTGGGTATGGCAGGGGTTCTGTCTGAGGGCAAGAGGGACCAGGCCAGTTCAGAGGGGTGAGCAACTACCAATAAGTGGGTTGAGGACATGGCTGGAGGAGGCTATGTCAAAGTAGGGAGGATTCCAGCTCAATGTTGGGAATAATGGAGTTTGGTATACAACCTGGATGCTACGTTCTAGGACAGTGGTATATATGAGTAGCACAGGGACAGTCTGTGGGCTGGATGCTGCTGGCAGGGTCAGTCTGTGGGCCTGGTCCAGCCACAGAACAACCCCATGCACCAGCCCCTTGTGCTGTGTACAGGGCCGTGTCACCAGGCCCACAGGACTGCACACAGGTCCAGAATTTTGGTGTTTGGTACTTCTAGCAGGGGCTGGGGTGGTTTGGGTGTTAAGGTCTATAGTTGACAACCCCGAAGTTGCAAGTTTGAGGCCATAGCAGAAGTGCTCATGGTGCAGCCCTGTCAGATCCCAGCAAATCTAAGAATTCTGCTAAATACTTTGTGACACAAGGGCATGAAAAAGGAGGGGCACTTCTGGTCAGAGACTTTTGTCATCAAACCTCTGCTAGCAGTTGGGTTTCTATTTATTATTATTCTTTTTTAGATTATAAATTTCCTTTTGTCTTTTGGCTGGGTTTAAACAGTATCAGGTGGTGTCAATGTTCTGAGTAAGATTCTGATAAAGGAAAGGCCTTTCTGGAAAGGAAGGTTCTGCAGCATTTTCTAAATGAGATAAAGTTCTGGATTAGCCAGATTGATTCTGGAAGTGTACCCTGGATCCAGATCCATGAACAATGTGTGCCTCCGGAGGTGGGGGTGGGCGCAGGATGGCAAGCGCTGACCAGCAGTCAGCAACCACCTGCAGATGTTACTGGCAGCGGTGCCTAGCGGTGATTGGCAACCGCCCGCAGACACCACCAGCAGTGGCAGCGGCGAGGGGGGTGGTGGTGAGCAGCAACTGCCCACAGGGGCTGCGGGCAGTGTCAGTAGTGCTCCTTTCAGGGCTGCACTGCCAATCTCAGTGGGTGCATGTGTGCCCCCTACACATTGCCAGTGTCCAGATCCCCTCTACCCTACAGAAATTTCTCTCTCTTTTTATTTAAGACCATTTATCAGCAACTTGGGGCTGTAGTGTCTTTAGGACAAGCCTCTTGCATATGAGTTTCTGAGTCAATGAGATTATTTTTAGAGCTTTTATTTTGTTAATAGAAATTGTTGTAGTTGTTTATATATAGAGAGAATACACAATGGTGCAATGGGATGTATGAATTTAATCTGCATGAATAAGGGAATGGGTAATTACCCAGACATATAACCTATAAGTAAATTGTGCAGGCCTTCCCAAATAGGTACTAATGAAACCTCTATACCACCACCAAGAGCATAATAAATTAGTTGTCCCATGATCTGCAACTAGTCTTAGAGAAATCTGTCTGTAAAAATATGTGCTGTAACTCGTGTGGGGGCATATCTCCCTATCCCAATTTCCCGCTGGTGCACTTATGTTCCATTACTATTGTTGAAAAGTTTGGCCACAAACGAGGACAATAGCAGAGTTTAAATCATGTCTGAAACTATCTTTCTGCTAAATAAGTGGCACCTTTCTACAGCTATGCATTATATAATTGTATCTGGGCAGAAGGCTTGTTTCGCACCAGCTGCAACAGCAAGCTAGTGCTATAAATCTGCACAATGTTCTGCATTGGATTATTTAATTAGGAGTGTAACTTCTGAATGGTCTTCTAACAGGAAATGGTGAGACCCATTCCTGTTTTGTCCTCATCACAATATGGAAGGCGCATCAACCAGCCAGTTGAGGAACTGATCAGAGATCACGCAAGGATTAACCATGTGAAGGCTGCATTCTACAGGAAAAATGGAATTGCTTGCTTGTTAGACAAATCTTCTTCAAGCCTACATCCCTGCTAAAGCTCCTGTCCGCTGTCACCAGATGCATAAACATAGTGAAAAATAGAGTTCTCAGTAATAAGTAGATAATTGTTTTGCATTCTTTTTCTCTAACATTCTTTTTCTCTAACATACTAATGGGCTAGTATGGTCTGAATCCAAAATAAAGCTGTAGTAGCTGTTCCCTTTCTTTAGTCCAAATTTATCTTTTTACCTGAAATCAAATTAAAGTCTTGCAAATGATGCTCCCAGTAATTCTGAACATCTTTGGAACACAGCTCCACAAGGGTTGTCCTGGATTCTCAAGTCCAGTGCCCTGCTACCACAGTCATATATAGCATAAAATCCCATTCATAAATTTAAGTATATTATAACAACATGTATCATTTATAGGAGCAAGTTTCTTCCTCAAAGGCTTTACAAATATTAACTCATTCCTCACAATGTTTCTTTGAAGTGGCTAAGTGTTGTTATCCTTGCAACAATGTTCCCAAATGCCTGACCCAGTAATGGGCACCTGAAGTAATAGCCAGATTTTCAGAGGTGCTGAATTTTAGACCAGCTTCATGTGCACTTGACTTGAAATCAGTATGAGCTGCTTAGCACTTAAAAACTAAGTCTAAATAGTATTCACCCAGTTTGCAACATTGTGGATTAAGAGACTTACCTAAGATCTTGTGCAGGGGCAGAGCAATTAACTGGACACAGGAGATCCCAGCTTTTAAAGTACTAACCAATGTTCTTCTCAGAAAATTGTTGTCTGTGCTTTCTGCTGTTTCTAAGGGAGAGCATGAGGGAAAGGAAAACCTGGCTTCATGTTGGCTGCACTGAAGTTTACCTATATCAAAAAAGATCATCATAGAAAATTAGGGTTGGACAGTTCAAAGTCTGACAGAGCCAAATGCTGCTGAGCTGCTTTGAATTGTAAACATAATGAGCAGAAGGAGGACCTGCTTATATTTTGTGTTAACTTTTTTCATGACCTGGAGTAGAGCGGAATAATATTGCACTTCAGTACCTTGGAGGTAGAAGAGGCCTTGGTGAACACCCAAGAGAGCAGAAAATTACAGCGCCACGAGACCTATGGCATCAGCCAACTTGTTAGACAAAGGAGGTAGAAATTAAAAATCAATGTTTATCATGTATTCTAAAACAAAGCTGATGGATCTGGATAGTCTCAGGCACAGCTGGTAAACTCAGACTGGTGGGGTGGGTGGAGCGGCACATGGAAGTGGGGGGTGGGGGCTGTAGCTGGCCAGGAGCAGGGGGTGTTTACAGTCTTCCTGCTCCCAGCTGGCAGCAACCCCCCCTGCTCCCATGTGATGCTCTACCTGCCCCACCAGTCTGAGCTCATCAGCGGTGCCTGGGTAGTATCCATTTGAAAGTTCTTTCATAGCCTGAAAATACATTGTTGTATATAGTATGCTCTAATGTGTACTTAAATGTTTCTGTAACTTTTATTACACATGGCTTTTATTGAAGCTAATATTTTAAGTGCCACTTTCAAATTGGGTTCTGGAATTTTGTAATAACTTAGTTCTCACGGGTTTTTTGTTATTGTTTAAAAATAATAAAAAGCTCTTCCACAGGAACTGTTCATTGAGTATGTTTCAAAAAGTGATGGTTCTTCGAAGCAAGGCTGGGCAAGTAAAAGGTATTCCAGTTACTACCAGCCTGATTTTCAAGGGGTTGAAGGTCCTTATGGGATCAGAGCTAGAGTTTTAGGCTATTTTTACTCAAAAACTTCTTGTGTGTGGCTTTCACAAATATCAACTAATAAGCACATCCTGGTGTTAGAAAGTGGAAGTGATGCAAGTTGTAGGTGAGGCAGGGCATGTCTACATGTGCATTTTAACGTGCAATAAAACACCGCGTAAAAAATGTGCAAATACTCTAATGGGCAGAAAATAGGCTACTGCGCATTAAACATCACTTTAAAAGCATGTGCTTTCAGAACTGCACATTAGGGAAAAATGTGCATTCATTTAGTATCTCACATTGGAGAAACTGATGGCTAGCAACCACAGGACATCAAGTTCAGAGTTTGCTACTTCCCTGTGCAACCCCCTTTGGACCATTGTGGTAACGTTAAATGAGGAGAAAGTGTTACAGGATCTATGGAAATATATCTTGCTATCAAGCTCACACATCACAAGTGATACATCTACACATACTATTAATGTTATAAAGGCATAGTGGACAGTAAAATACTGAGTGGTAAGCATTCCCTGGGAGCATATCTATACGTGCCCCCTGTTGACAGCAAATCTGCTCTCAGTTGTCACACCCCAGTACAGGGCTACTCCTACCATGCTCTGGCCCCGTGCAGCATCCAGGGAAGCTCAAGGGTCCCCTGGCAGGGCTTGGGGGATAGGTGCCAGTCCCAATGCACATGAGGCCAGGAGAGCTGCCAGCTCCAGCAGCAGCTGTTTCCTGGCCCTGTGCACATCAGGAGGGGTCCTGATGTGGATGGGGCCAGGAGACTGCTGCCACTGCACTGGTCTCCTGGTCCTGTGCACATGGAGACAAGCCCCATGCCAGGGGCTGGCAGGAACCTGCCCCAGAAGTGGGACAGCTTCCAAACAGCCCCCAGATAGGTGGGGAAGCAGAGAGCATCTCAGTCCCAGCACTGCTGGGCTCCTGGCTCGTGTGGATAGGCGGGGACAGAGAGCTAACCTGTTCCAGTATTGCTCAGCTACTGGTGCCTGGGGGGAGCTGCCAGCTCATCCTCTGTGGCCATCTAGTGTTGGCACTGACCAGAAACAGATTTGCTCCCAGTCAGCACCTACAAATACGCTACTACACAGTATCTGATGCATAGTTAGTTTACTATCTGTATTTACAGGCAGTAGCTAGCTGCCCTGTCCACTAATTTACTGGACAGTAAATGATGCACACATGTAGATTGTGATGGTTTACTGCTCAGTAGATCAGACTACTGTGCAGTAAAACATCTCATGTAGACACACCCAGGGGGAACATTTTCTGACAGAGCACTAGCACTCTTCTCAAGAAGGAAAAATAAGCTCACCCATATCAAGAGTCAGGAGGTGTATCACCAACTTGCATGCAGGTGGGTGCTGGGTCTGGGTGATTTCATCCCTACTTCAGTGGTCCAGTTATTTTCATTTACAGACATTTTTGCTTGCATGCTCTGAAAGGAGTGAACCATTGGCCAACAGCACCACCTGCTGCTTATTCTGAGGAATAAGCAGCAGCACTTGACATTCACATAAACGAGGGCAAAAGAAACTAGGCAGGCCTGTCCCTACTGCAGATGGTGCCTGGTCTAGGATCATTCTCTTAGCTCAGGGATCACATTTTTCCAGCAAGGAGATGGGATAACACTGCTCTGGTCTGAGGTGGGGCAGCACTAGGATGCCGCTGCCTCTGCTGCCTCTCCCTGCTGCATGGCACAGGCAAAGCCCTCCCACCCCACAACAGTGGAATGCTGTAAAAGCCATGCATGCAGGGATTTTTTAAATTTTTGTTATTTATATATTTTGGAAAAATTTTCATGTTCTAGGTCAAATTAGCCAGATCAGTTCTGAATCCTTTGAATTATTGAAAAACCATATGTGGCCCTGCTACTGGCAAGTATCCTCCACACTGGACTTTTCAGATTGAGTCTTTAGATACTTTCAAATCCATTGGCAGGCATCCTACATGCAGGCCCAAGTCCAGAGGCTTTGGGTTCGGATGTTCCTGAGTTTCACTTGCCCTCAGCCAATCGCCACAGGAGCAAGCTAGGGAGGAGAGCCCATTGTCATAAAGTCGGAGTGTAGCCCCCTCACCTGGACACTTCGACTCTGCTGCACTTGTAGAGGAGCTCTGAAATCACTGCCCAGTCGACATGGGTTCCTGCTGGAGCTCCACGTGAGCAGTGAGTGCTGAGCTCACCAGCTGATTGGGGTGAGGTCTGGCCAGAGTCCCTGCTTTCCTATGGTCCCAGAGCCCAGAGGGTGAAGGCTGCTGTTGTTTGCCCTTCTCTTTCCTCTCTGGTGAATTCAACAGCAGGAAGAAGGAGGGGATGAGCAGCAGCAGCAGCAACACTTCTCTCCTTCACCCAGACCCATACCGAGGGATTACTTAGCAGAGCTAAAGTGAGGGTCCAGTCTCACTGCCAAGCCCCCTCTAGATCCACCCCTGTTTACACCCATCTCTGAACACCATCACCACCTGCTTTGTGTAAAAAGTTGAATGCTGATCAGGGGGACCTTATTGCTGTTTTCAACCAGGGGTCTTCTCTGTCTGGTGCTTAGCCCCATTCCATAGCTACATAAACCAGGGAGAGCAGGGAATGTGGATGGCTGGATTGACTGAATCAGAGGACCAGTGCCACACACCTCCACTCATGGGGGAGGCAGGAAGTGAGGTCAAAGTTTTTTGAAGGCAAAGAAAGTGAGAAAGCATGTCAAGGTAGACAGCTCTAAATCTTCCAGTTCTGGACACATCCTCCTTAAACTTCTGGAGACTTACTGTGTAGCTTGAACACATCTAAAATTCAGAGAACTTCACAGGAACGTTTGGAAGGATAACGAAAAGAGTGCACCTTCTGCTCCCATTGGAGCCCATGGGACCTTTACACAGAAGGTTTTGCTTGCTGTAGACATAGCAATTTTCCCAGCTGCCTCAAATAAGCTGCTTTCCACCATGAGGGCAGACCATCTTGATTAGCTATGTACACTTGCTTTGCCATTCATGTAAGGGACTACTTGTCACTGTGAATAAGGGAAAAACAACAGACTTGGAGGCTACCCCTTCTTCTCTTTCCTGACAAGCCATAAAGCTCCTCCTATGTTCTTGGAGTTATGCTGAGCTACTTCTACCTCACAGCCTCTCCTCTCCAAAGAACAAACAAGGCCCTTGGTGAAAACTGTGCCAGTCTTTCAGCTTGCAGCATTGGAGGGAGGTGAGAAATGAGAGAGGGGTTCTCTTTGAAAGAAAATAACTTATAATTGAAAGTTTAAGATTTGTCTTTAAAGATCAGATAATAGAACTTCTTCACATTTTGTGTTATATGGATAAAGAGCTTTATAATGCAGTGTTATACCAATGACATTAGAGTGGGCAGATCTTTATAGTTTAGAATTAATTGTGCTACTGCATGATCAATGGACAATGCTGGTACTTATTGGAATGCCTGTCTGCTATAAAATACAGTTGAGAGATCTGAAATGCTAAAAGAAAACCATAAGCAAATATAAATGCAGTTTATTAATTTACTTTTATCCTTTACATTTAAAACTTCAAAGAAACAGAACACTTGCATATTTAAATTGTCTAATACAAATTCAATACAAAGTAAAATGTCTATACAATTGCTGTACTACAGAGTGGGCATGCCTACACAAGATGCTTTAATGTGAAGTAGGATAGTTTACTGCACAGTAAGCATGTGTGTCTACACATGCATCTACAAGCAAATGCAAGTAACAACTTTACTTGTGAGTAGTTACTGTGCAGTAGTTTTTGTGTAGATGCCTGAACAGGAGCATAGTTTCAGAGTTGTTAGGGGCTGGAAGGGACCTTACAGATCATCAGGTCCAGTCCTCCTGCATGTGGGCAGGAAAGACTGTTGGGTTCAAATGATCCCAGCAAGATGGGCGTCAAGATGTTTTTTGAAGATCGCCAGGGCAGATAACTACCACTTCTGGGGGAACCTGTTCCAAACCCTCAGCACTTGGCTTGTAAAGAATTTTTTCCTTATGTCTAGCCTGAAGTGATCTTCAATCAGTTTGTGCCCATTATTTCTTATCTTCCCCTGGGGGGCCTTGGTGAATAGATGCTCCCCCAAACCCTGATGTATGCCCCAATATACTTATAGGCTGCAACCAAGTCACCATGAGTACTCTTTTCTCCAGGCTGAACAATTCCAAGTCCCTCAGCCTCTCCTCATATGGCTTCGTCTCCAGACCTCTAATCATGTGTATGGCCCTCCTCTGGAGTCTTTCGAGCTTCTCCACATCCTTCCTGAAGTGCAGCACCAGAACTGGATGCAGTACTCCAGCTGCAGTCTCACCAAGTCTGAGGAAAGCAGGAGGATGACATCCTTTGCCTAGCTCAAGATGCCTCAGTGGATGCATGCCAGTGTTTGGTTAGCTCTGCCAGCATCACATTGGTAGCTCACGTTCATGTTGTTGTCAGTCATGACACCCAGGTCTCATTCAGTTGTGATGCTGACAAGCAGAGCACTGCCAAGTCTG